ATTAAAGTTGAAATTTATGAATTAAAAAAAATTGAAAACATAGAGCCATCTGAGCAATGGAAACATGCGAATGTACGTGTGAAATATTTCACAAAACCAACAAACGATTCCATACATAGAAAAACTCGACAATTAGTTTACGATATAACAAAGAGCATATCGAATGCACCGGGGTGCCAAAAATATACGGTAAGCAATAAAAAATAAAAATGCTTTGCCTCCATACCAACAAAGTTCAAGCAAGAGAACAAACAATGAATCCATTGACGAATTCTTGTGAACGTCAGAATGGCGGGTGTATGGTCACAGAAATGAATAATATAAATATGAATTTTCAATACCTGAGGTGTACCTTTATGTACCTTTAGTTATTAATTTTGTACTTCCCTAATACGGGAACAATTTAAATTACAAAATGAGCCGCCAACCTGATATCAGGTTGGCGGGTGTATGCTGAAATTGGACGAAACAGGTAAGTTATGGTTTTCTTTTATTTACAATTATTTAGTACCTCAAATGTACCTCACAAATATATTATGATAAACCAAATGCGACGAATAATTAACGAGAAAATTGATACGCAAAATTTGATGTCCACCATTTTTTTGATGGCCACCATTTCTTTTAACAAGTTAGAAAGTTGACACTGACACAGATAATACATACCATACAGATATTTTTTAAGTCTGTTTTTTNAGGAGGGAAAGACAGCTGCCATTCATAGGTACGCCCATGTCATCAGGTCATTTTAGTTTCTGGCGCAGCAGAAATGCGACTTTTCGTCGTTCCAACCAAAAGACTGTAGGATAAAGACCTCCCCCAAGGATTTTCACTGCGACCGCTTCACTAGACAGTTGGTCTGTCTACACTATTCCCCAATCCGTGGTCGCCTCTTAAGAACTTCTGTCCCAATGGCCATCAGCTCATAAAGGCTCATAAGAGAGCCTCGCCCCCCCAACAAGAAGACCCCGCGCGCGGCGCCGTCGCCGCCCGCGCCCGTGCTGCACTCGCCGCCGCGCCGCGTGTCCGTCAAGCAGCAGCGCGACTGGAAGGTGCCGCCGTGTGTCAGCCACTGGAAGAACGCCAAGGGTGAGTTGACATTGACAGTGTAGATCAAGGGAAAGACAAGAAGACAGATCGAAGGAAGGAAGAACGCTAAAGAAGCAGCAGCGCGACTGGAAGGTGCCGCCGTGTGTCAGCCACTGGAAGAACGCTAAAGGTGAGTCCTTAATTCGATGCTCCATGGTGACAGGTTGTAGGTCCAGCGCAATCCTGACGAGGCGCGGCGAAGAGACCAAGAAGAAAATCATCATTTCAGCGACAGGACGTCCACTGTTGAACATAGAATGCCCTCAAGTGACAGGTTAATAGGTATAGGTTGATAAGAAGCAGCAACGGGATTGGAAGGTGCCATCATGTGTCAGTCACTGGAAGCTAGAGGTAAGTTCTTGATTCGATGCCCTCATGTGACTTAACTCCTTCAAAGCGACTTCCAGGAAGGAGTCCAGCTTCTGGACTAACTAGGGAGAGGAGGCTAGTCATACCTAGCTTCTGGACTAAGGGGGAGGGCAAGTCAGATCTTTTAGACCCATGTCATCAGGTCATTTTAGTTTCTGGCGCTGCAGGAATGCGTCTTTTTCGTCGTTTTAACCAAAAGACTAGGGCTAGGACTAAAGGCCTCCCTCATAGAATTTCCCTATTTCGCTGTTCCAACTAAAAGACTGTAGAATAAAGGCTTCCCCCAAAGATTTAGTCGGTCCACCGAGAGGTCCATCAATACTGCTTGCTCCAATCTTAAGAACTTCTGCCTCAATGGCTACGTTATAAGGGATCATAAGAGTCCCGTCCCTCAACAAGAAGATCCCGCGCGCGGCGCCGTCGCCGCCCGCGCCCGTGCTGCACTCGCCGCCGCGCCGCGTGTCCGTCAAGCAGCAGCGCGACTGGAAGGTGCCGCCGTGCGTCAGCCACTGGAAGAACGCCAAAGGTGGGTCCTTGATTCGATGCCCGATGGTGACAGGTTGTAGGTCCAGCGTAGACTAGACGAGGCAGCGAAGGGACCAAGAAGAAAAGCGTCATTATTTCAGCGACAGGACGTCCACTGTTAAACATAGAATGCCCTCAAATGACAGTGTATAGGTCGATAAGAAGCAGCAGCGGGATTCGAAGGTGCCATCGTGCGTCAGTTACTGGAAGAACGCTAAAGGTGGGTCCTTGATTCGATGCTTCAAGGGACAGCTCCTTTAAAGTAATACATTGACAGTGTAGATCAAGGGAAAGACAAGAAGACAAATCGGAGGAAGGAAGAACGCTAAAGAAGCAGCAGCGCGACTGGAAGGTGCCGCCCTGCGTCAGCCACTGGAAGAACGCTAAAGGTGGGTCCTTAATTCGATGCTCCATGGTGACAGGTTGTAGGGCCAACGCAGTCCTGACGAGGCGCGGCGAAGAGACCAAGAAGAAAATCATCATTTCAGCGATAGGACGTCCACTGTTGAACATAGAATGCCCTCAAATGACAGTGTATAGGTCGATAAGAAGCAGCAGCGGGATTGGAATGTGCCACCGTGTCAGTCACTGGAAGAATGCTAAAGGTAAGTCCTTGATTCGATGCCCTCAAGTGACTTAGCTCCTTCAAAGCGACTTCCAGGATTTAGGTGCTTCTCGTGACCGACGATCCACCTAAAGGCCTGCCGATATTTTTCGCGCCCGTGCAGGTCCGTATTTGGTCGCCACTCGAGAACTTTTCTGCCCCAACGGTTATTATTTCTAGGAGTTATCTACTCTGCCCACTGCCACTTAGTCCGCCAATTCTCTGGACTATGTCAGTTTTTTGTTGTTACAACGGATCTCCTCATTTCTGATCCGATCACATAAGGAAACTCCATCAAATCGCTCACCAATCCAATGGGCATGATTACTAATCACCAAGTTTACTTATTCAATGCCTTAATCAATTCTCTTCGTCCCCAGGTTACACAATTCCGCTTGACAAGCGGCTCGCAGCGGACGGCCGAGGCTTACAGCAAGTGCGAATCAACGAGAATTTCTCCAAGCTTGCCGATGCATTATACATCGCTGACAGAAAGGCCAGGGAAGCTGTGGAAGCCAGAGCACAGTTGGAAAGGAGATTAGCGCAAAGAGAGAAGGAGAAAAAAGAAGAACATTTGAGGGTTCTCGCGCAGAGGGCCAGAGATCACAGAGCTGGTGAGAATTTGTTATGTTATCGTCTGAAAGCAGCTATAGGGCACAGGGTTTAGTTTTTGTTATAGCGGCAACAGAAATACATCATCTGTGAAAATTTCAACTGTGTAGTTATCACGGTTTATGAGATACAGCCTGGCGACAGACAGAGCGACGTTAATATTAGGGTCCCGTTTTTACCCTGTGTATGGGATCCTAACAATTGCTAAAAGACCAGAGACCACAGAGCTTATTCAGATACTATTTAGTCAGGGTGAACTGCATTGAGACACTAAACGAGTCACATAAAAATATCGTAGCAACTATATTTATACAGACCTACAAAGCGTTAGGTATAGAAAAGTAGTTCAAGAAAATGTTAACTCACTTCTAAGACCGCGCGTAAAAATCTCGTTTCAATTTTACGCATTCATTTGATTGCTTTTTAATTTTTATTAGACAGAGCATCTACTGAGCGTAATCGCTTCACTGTAGGTAGACCATATTACCAGCATTAGGGGACATTTTAATAACAGTAAAAATAAGAGCAACCTTTTCATCAAAAAAAGGAACACAATCTACCCCCAGTCTAACAGCGCCCTCTATTCAGGTATTCGAGCGCCGGAGGACGAGGAAGCACCACCAGAAGTGGACGAGTCCGGCCTCACGGTGGCAGAGAGAGACAAACTGCGCGCTGAGCGGCATAAAGAGAGACAGCGAGAGCGGAACTTGGCTAGAGCTGCCCCAGACAAGAGGTAGGATAAGATGTAATTTTATTGTTAGTTGGAAATCCGGCTCGAAGGACCATGCTGACTAGTCCAGCCAGAATTTGACGAGCCCGGGCTCCCTGTGGCAAAGAAAGACAAACTGCGTGCTGAACGACTTAAGAGAGACAGCGTGAGCGGAATCTGGCTAGGGCTGCGCCGAACAAGAGGTAAGATGAGATAAAATTCGAAAATCCGGCTCGAAGGACCATTCTGACTAGATCGGATGTGGACGAGCCTGGCCTCACCGTGGCAGAGAAAGACAAACTGCGCGCCGAGCGGCATAAAGAGAGACAGCGAGAGCGGAATTTAGCTAGGGCTGCGCCGGACAAGAGGTAAGATCAGACAAAATTTGAAAATCCGGCTCGAAGGACCATTCTGACTAGATCGGATGTGGACGAGTCTGGCCTCACCTTGGCAGAGAGAGACAAACTGCGAGCTGAGTGGCATAAAGAGAGACAGCGAGAAAGGAAGCTGGCTAGGGCTGCGCCGGACAAGAGGTAGGATAAGATGTAATTTTATTGTTAGTTGGAAATCCGGCTCGAAGGACCATGCTGACTAGACCAGCCAGAAGTTGACGAGTCAGGTCTCACTGTAACAGAGAGAGACAAACTGCTTGCTGAGTGGCATAAAGAGAGGCAGCGCGAGCAGAACCTGGCTCGGGCTGCCCCGGACAAGAGGTAAGATTAGATATAACTTAATAATAATCCTTAACACTGGCAATCAGTGGAAAATCTGGCTCGAAGGACCATGTTGCGCGCTTAACGGCACAAGGAAAGACAGCACAAGCGGAACCTGGCTAGGCTCCGGACAAGAGGTAAGATAAGAAAATATCCGGATATCCGGCTCCAAGGACCATGTTGCGCGCAGGCAATCACTTACCATCAGGTGATCCATCTGCTTGTTTGCCTCCTGTCACATAAAAACGGCGTTTTCTGGCTTCTGGCTGTGTCGCATTTTGACGTTTACTTATGATTTTATTTCTTCTAATCCATTTGAAGCCGTACTAAACAAACTAATATTTCCACCTATCTAACGACAAGTTTATATTCCTTCCAGAAACAAAATGGCCAAGGATCGCGAACGTGACATCTCCGAGCAGATTGCTCTAGGGCTCCCGGCCAAGAACACACAAGGTGGCGAGGGCATGTTCGACCAGCGCTTATTCAATAACAGCAANAATTAATTTTACATTTAGTTGCATGTCATAAATTAGGATTACCATGTCAAATTAAATACAAAAATAAATATTATAAACTTACATTTTCAGGTTACGGCGACGACGAAGCGTACAACGTGTACGACAAGCCTTGGCGCAACCAGGACAACGTGGGCTCGCACATCTACCGGCCGTCGCGGAATGCTGACAAGGACAACTATGGAGATATCGACTCTATTGTTAACACCAGAAGGTTTGTATCTTTATTGTATTGGTTTTTGTTGACAGGACTATTAGAGTAGGCGCACACCGTTGATTTTTAGTTGGCCGATAGTTGTGCCCGATTTTAAATTGTATGAAGAATCGGCCAAATCGAATCGGCGTAGTGTGCGCACTCCCTACATGCCCATACTGATCAACTGCCCGACTAAACTATCGGCCGACGAAAAATCAACGGTGTGCGCCTACTCTTACCTACCTCTGTTTCCCGCCAATGTAATTTACTGTATACACCTATTTCTCTATTAGAGATATCAGATAACTAAATTGTCTCATCTCATATCAATCAATAAACTGCGATATGAAAGCCTCCTACAAGATGACACGATTACACTGTCAGAATTTTATACATTTTGGCATACTTTTTAAGAGGGGTTACATTTAACAATCAGATAATAATCGGTACTCAAATGTTACAAAACTGTTGAAGGGTTCACGTTATTCGGTTTTTCACTACAATAGAGTCCAGGCGAAGACCCTTACAAGTTTTTTATGGTTGATCATCATTTTCGAATATTTTTACTTTTAATTTTATTACAAGTTTCATGGATCTCCAATTTAACCCAAATAAATATCTGCCAAGCAAGAATTATTCAGAATAATAATGAATTTGTCTGATCTAGTTAATTTTTCTTCAGGTTCGTGGCAGACAAAGAGTTTGCGGGCACCAGCAGTGGAAACGCTCGCGCCGGGCCCGTGCAGTTTGAGAAAGACGCGCCCGCGCCGAGGGAAGAACCGGTCTGTATTTATTTATATATTTATAAACGTCTTAAAAAGCTGACAATAGTTTCGAAGCTTTGTATAAAAATTTGTTGGGGGCCCCATCTTTAAAAAAGTCATTAGATCATTGATACGGCGGTAGCTAGCTACGCCCCAGGGTTCTAGCAGAGAAGAATAGGACACACTTCTTCCGTCGATGTCATGAGAGGTGACTAAGGGACAAAAGTACGCACATCAAATCACCCCGAACCATGATGGCCAACGTGGGAAGTGTAGACCTCCTTCCTTCATATGTCTGTATAAAAAGCCGCTTTTTCGGATTTGAAACTGTCATTTTCTGAGGGAGCTAGACAAAGTAACATTCACAACGCAATATCGTAATCGCTTCCCGGAGCGATGTAGCTACAATCAAAAAACGCAGGAACGAAACGATTTTGGAATACAAATTATATCACGTAATAGGTAACTCATACTATATTACTCTATTTAGTAGGTTTAATGATATAATAATAATAATTAACTTTTTTTAAAAATAAAACCGACTTCAAATGCGTGAACACAAAAAAAAAACTAAAAATTAAAAATATTGCGTATAAAAAAGTTCAACCCCAATTTTCCACCCTTGGGGGTGAAATATTTTCTTCAAATTCGCATGAAACCACCCTTTTGATAATACCTATTCAACAAAAAAATAATCGTTCAAATTTATTTATAATCGGCGGAGATATTGCGTATAAAAATGTTCATCCCCAATTTTCCACCCTTGGGGATTGTTTTTTCTTGAGGTATTACCTATACGCCGAAAAAAGATTTGTTCAAATCGGTTCATAATTGGCGGAGTTATCGCGTAACAAACATAGAAAAAAAAAACATACGGGTCGAATTGATAACCTCCTCCTTTTTTGAAGTCGGTTGAAAATTGGAGTTAATTAAAGACTATATTTAATTATTTACTTATCAATATTTGTACACAGTCCCGCACCCAACCCGACGCAGACTTCGACCCGTTCGGCCTGGACCGGTTCCTGAGCGAGGCCAAGCGCGCCGACAAGTCGGGCCGCAAGCGCGACCACCACGACCGCCACGACCACCACAACAAGAAGCGACGCGACTAGCGGAGGATAATTACTGGGTGAGTTAACGACCAAGATTCTAGTCTAGCGTGTCTCACCAGATGGATACCGATCCGGTATCAGGCCATATTATGATCGACCACAACAAGAAGCGACGCGACTAGCAGAGGATAATTACTGGGTGAGTTTCTAGCTAAAAGAATGATCTGCTAAAGTCCGGTCGCCGAGCACATAGAATTTCGTCCAATGACCCTAAGCTACCCATCCTTATCGCTCGCGCTCGCACACTCACTGCGGGCGTGCGTCGCACAGTCGCGACAGCAACATAATTACGCGCGAGCGATAAGGATGCGTAGCTTGGGGTCATTAGACGAAATTTCATCTGCTGAGCATTTCTCATCTGATAGGTAGTGACCTGGTACCATCTTTCCCATCTAGCTCTAGACCATCTAGACCTTCTATATCAGTGTTTTTCAACCTGTGGGTCGCGACCCCCTGGGGGGTCGCCAAGCCTTTGTAGGGGGGTCGCGAGAGGTCGTAAAAACTACCTCAGTAAAAGAATCAGTAAAGTTATAATGATAGATTTATCCGAAATCTAATTATACAAATGTTGTATGGATTGAAATATTACAACATCTTTGTAACATTATAAAATGCATGAAAAAAAAAGCGAGCGGTCGGGGGGTCGCGAAATATTTTTTCGCGTCATGAAAAATGTTGAAAAACACTGTTCTAGATGGTCTAGATCTAGATATTCTAGACCAGCGTTTCCCATCATGATCGCCACAACCACCATTACAAGAAGCGGCGTGATTAGTAGCAGCCGATGAGGTGAGCTAAGGACTATCTCATTAGGACACCAAGACTTCGACCCGTTCGGTCTGGACCGGTTCCTGAGCGAGGCCAAGCGCGCCGACAAGTCGGGCCGCAAGCGCGACCACCACGACCGCCACGACCACCACAACAAGAAGCGACGCGACTAGCAGAGGATAATAATCATTGGGTGAGCTAAGCACCATCAGCGTTCTAGTCAATCACTAGATATTAACACAGAATAATAATAAGTACTACGTACAGAAGTTTTACTTCGCGAAGGTATTTAAAAAAATGTATGCTCAATGTCATTAGTAATTTAGCCTGTCTCAAGAGTCAAGCACCATTTTGTTGACAAACGTCAGTGATCGGCACTGCGCCGAAGCTATAGGGCTGACTTCGGTAAAATGATGTGACGTGAGGTGCCAAACTGCGGAAAATGGCGGAGGAAATACATGATTTAGCATGTATTATCATGAATAATTATTAACTATAGTCTATCCAATATAGCTTGATTAGAATGACGGCTGTCAAACGAATGTGACTAGTGATGGGTATGTTTCGTACGGTTCACATAGATGTATCGATAAGTTTTCGAAAAAATGATATAAAAAAATGCACCCAATTTTTCTTCATATCTTTATTCATAAAAATGACAATTATGATTTAAATTTAAAGACAGTAAAATTTAAAATTCATGTCAAGGGTGTACAACCTAAGTCGAAGTCATTATCAACAGTGTTCTTCAGTGGGTTTTTTCCTCTCGCTAGAGGTAAAAAATTAGTAAGAAAAAAAAATTGTTAAATATGTTAAAAAAATAGTTTTAATTTAAAATGACTTAAAAACTAAAATTTTAAAATTACTAATGATAAAAACTATTTACAAAATAAAAAATACTTCACCCCCAGCGCCGCAGTCAGGAATGGTGCCCAAAAGGCTGGCAGCATTGCCACGTTGAATGGCCAGGCTAATTCTCTGGCCGAAATAGCTGCCAGCCTTTTGATCACCGGTCACCTCGGTGAGCCTCTTTGCCAGTTCCTTATAAAAGGAACGAGCGCTTGGACCCCATAGTTTTAATTTAATATGACATTTGTCGATATGTCCCAACACTAACATTTTTGTAACTCGAGATAACCTTGTAGAGACGTCGTTAATGCTCTAGCTTGATTTTTATAATTTCGAATTACTACTTATTGGTGTAATTTAACGCTGCATTTACACGAAATTATCATTTTTATTGGAAGCACTGTCGTCGAAAATATTATTTGTAGGTCAGACGTGAATTATTTCTTGTCCGCCAATATTTAGCTCTCATTGATCGCTACTACAAAGTTATGTCGTTACTTTTGATGACAGCTGTCATTCTAATCAAGCTATATTGGATAGACTATACTTATTTACCTCTCAGTGTCTTGAGGCAACTTAAAAAAGTACATTCTGTGTTTTTATTATTATTTACGCAGTTTAGTCCAGTCAATGAATGCCTTAACGACGGTGTAGAGAGAAATCCGTGGAACACAATTTCTGACCTCGGGACTTTATTTAGCCTAGTTAGGTGGTGAACATAGCAAAAGTCCCCGCCCTTAGCCCTTGAGCCGGCGGGGAGAGGGGAGTTTAAAGGTACCACTTTTCGGTTTTTCGCTTAATCCTCGGAAACTATGCGTCCTAGTGACATGACTACTATGAACCAAAAAAAGCTTATTNATTACGTAAAACAGTTCATAATTAACTATAAATAACAATAATAACATAGCAATGACATAATTTTAATGTAATTAGAATCACTCACACGCAGCGATACCCTAAACAACAGCAACGGCAAAATGAACCCGTTTAATCGTGGTTTCACAATAATCATTTATTGAACTCAAGCTTACGACTAAACAAACTTTTGTGGCAAACAATCATGGGAATTTACATATTTCCACATATAAAATAGGCTAAATCTCAAAATCGACCGTTCACGTTGGCGTCGCGCACCGGGAAGAAGGAAACTTCTAGAACTTCCGTCCGCGTGAGTCGCGAGACGCGCGGGGGGACTGCCNTGTACTCTGTGTTGCGAGGACTGATCTACCTTTCATCAATTTTCTATTATAAAAAACCTATACAGTCCACTTTCAAATCAAATTCCCTGAACCAGCGTAATAAACGCAATTTTCAGTGCGACATACGCACAACTCTAATTAGGCTTTTATTGATGATATACTTGGAATTGCTCTAGAGCCAATGAGGAAGTTGGAGACATTCTCATGAAGGTTATGCGTAACTATGTATTTATTAACGTGACCGTATTTGTCCACAGTCCCGCACGCAACCCGACGCAGACTTCGACCCGTTCGGTCTGGACCGGTTCCTGAGCGAGGCCAAGCGCGCCGACAAGTCGGGCCGCAAGCGCGACCACCACGACCGCCACGACCACCACAACAAGAAGCGACGCGACTAGCAGAGGATAATAACTGGGTGAGCTAAGCACCATCAGCGTTCTAGTCAATCACTGGATATTAATATCAGAACTGACGCCCAAGAGGCCAGTAAGGTTCTGGACTGGAGGCCTCTTACAAGCGCAACGTGGAGGATAGACGACCTCATAAATGTAGCAAGAAGGCGCTGGTTGTAGGCCGCTGGCGACTGCCCAATTTGGAAATCATTGGGCCAAGTTCAGCAGTGGACGTCCTGTGGCTGAAATGATGATGATGATGACCATAACAAGAAGCAGCGTGAATAGCACCAACTAATGAGGCTTAAAATTATGACCTGATGAGCGTTTTCAATCTGATGGTTAGCGACCCGGCACCGGCGATAAGCAGCGATTAATAAGGTGAGGTACTAAAAACCATCATTAATCTAGAAATCTAAACAAGAACCTTCAGCGATATATAATAGTCCGCGCTACTAGAAGACGCAGCATACTAGCTTATGCTCGTGGCTTCGCCCATGTGAATTTCATTCTATTAGCCCATGTTAGTCACAAATTAATAAGGTGAGCTAAGGGCTATCTCATTAGAACACCAAGGCTTCGACCCGTTCGGTCTGGACCGGTTCCTGAGCGAGGCCAAGCGTGCCGACAAGTCGGGCCGCAAGCGCGACCACCACGACCGCCACGACCACCACAACAAGAAGCGCCGCGACTAGCGGAGGATAATAACTGGGTGAGTTTCTAGCTAAAGCCTGGTCCGTGAGCACGTAGAATTACGTCCAAATACCCCAAGCTACCCATCCTTATCGCTCGCGCGTAATTATATTGCTGTCGCGACTGTGCGACGGGCGCCCGCAGTGAGTGTGCGAGCGCGACACTATAATTGCGCGAGCTATATAATTACACGCGAGCGTAAGAATGGGTAGCTTGGGGTCATTGGACGAAATTCTTTATGCTCGCCGACGGGACTTTAGCCTAGGATGCACGCTATAGCTGCGGATGATTGTCCAATTTTAGAACAAAACTCGCGGCTCCGCTTCATTGGCTCCCGAGGACACCGTCGGGTTTTAGTGGGTCTCTTCCCGGCAGAACGGCGGGCTTCCTGGTCCCACATAACCCGCTATTCGAAATAAAAAGCATACGCTCCATTATATCGTTTTATCAAAGCGTGTTTTCAGTTTTAGTCGATAAATCTATACATTTTTCGTTTAAAATCAACGATAACATTATATCGGAGGTACTGAGCTGAGCTAAACACCATCAGCCTTCTAGATTCATCATATCAGCTGCAGGCCGTGCTAGCTAACAGCAAGAGTCAATGAGGTTCTGGAAAGGAAGCCACGAAAGCGCAACCGCAGCGAGGGAGCTACTAGGTGCACAGACGACCTCATAAAGGTAGCAGGAACGCGCTGGACACAGGCCGCTACCAACCGGATAATCTCCGACAAAGCTAAAAAATATGTTTGAAAAATTATTCATCATCATTTCAGCCATAGGACGTCCACTGCTGAACATAGGCTTCTCCCAGTGATTTCTAGATTGACCAGCTGGTTTGAAAAATTGGCAGTTTCTATAAGCGCGGATTATAGACAACTAGCTTTCCGACCGCGGCTTCGCTCGCGTGAAATTTTGTCTGTCACAGAAAAACTTTATCGCGCGCGTCCTTGTTTCAAAAACCGGAATATCAAACTATATCTATGCCAAATTTCATCAAAATCGGTTCAGTGATTTAGGCGTGAAAGCAAGACAGACAGACAGTTACTTTCGCATTTACAATATTAGTATAGATTTAAGTAAAAAGGGGTGATGCCTTAACTTAAGGCAGGCTTAAGGCCTTTCTTACTGTCGACAGTTTCACGCCTGTCACCTATCAATAATTTTATTATCCTTACTGATTTCTGAGAATACGGATAGAGTTAAATGTGATAATGTATTTTTTTTTGTTACAGATGGTGTACATTGTTTGCCTTATCGTCTCGCACAACGTATGTTACTTTATTCATAAGTGTTTCTTTATTAACTGCCAATTTGAAAGCTTGTTAGCACAAATTCTAAGAATTGAAAGACAGTTTAAGATACGTTAAAGAATTATCCACTCATTCGTAAAAAGGTCAATGAGTAAAGATAAAGAAATGTCCTAACGAGTTGCAGTGTGACTTGATGGTAATTCTTTCCCAACGGGTAACAGTGTTAATTCGTTTGGGTGTGACTTATTGGGAACAAGAAAAAGTTAAAACAATGACAGCATATTTTAGTACACTTAGATTATTCTTATTGGAATTAACAAAATTACAAAATGTTATGAAACTTTGTGATAAGGAGAAACTTAATTTAATTGAAGGTATTCATATAACTAATATTGTATTCAATAATTCATTAAGAATACGCTTATGAATAAAAAGGACATAAAATGCATGAGGCGAAGGTTTAATGTTATGATAAAATAAGAATGACGTTAATAAATCCAAGTTTCCTTAGACATAGTTAATTAATTTTAATTAAAGAACTGTGCAGTCTTTTACATGCCTTGTTAATTGTAAATATTTGTTTCTTAAGATTTTCTCTGAAAAAATGTATTGTTCATTTTCCTAAACTCCATTACACCATAACGGCTGACAGCACTCAACTGTACTACAGTAAATTAATAATTACAATTTATTACAAGCTACTATTACAGTTACAATTTTATTGTTGCTAACATACAGAACAATAATGGAGTGAGTGGAATGTAAATTGTGAATGGTAGGTTGTTTTTCCTTAGGATATAATAAAATGTATATGATGTGTAGGTATTTTGTACTATATGCGTTTCAGCTGAAAAGAGCTTGTAATAATAATTTTAGTTAATAAAGTTATGTGTAATCAAAATTGTATTTTATTGCTCAACTTATTCCCTATAAAAGTGTAAATTCCCATAGCAATTTGTAGTGTGTCAGTGGTTTTTAATAAAAAGTCAGGTTTACATTTTGACAATATTTATTGGAATAACAATACTTCGTAACATACATAAATGTGAAAAATATGCGAAAATTAATACGAGAAGGCTGTACGCGCGCCACCAACTAGGCAGGCGACAACTACTTTAAGACACCCGTTGGACATACAAAAATACGCTTCTACGGTGACAACAAAAATTGTGAACCTTCATTGGAGTCCTAGGCCAATACTCAAGTGTCACACCGTGACGAAGGACACCACACACCAAAAACGTTGCTAAAAATATACATCTTCATTAAATTTCAATAAGTGCGTCAGTGTCATCAAAACCCATAGTGAGAAGGCTGATCTGAACACAAGTTTTCCATACAAAACGTCGTTACAGCGTAATAAATACTGAACTTGAATAGTTAATAATTTAAGGAGATAAAAATGTTAAATTTATTACAGTAGGTATATGCCAGCATGATGTACTAGTATTATTTATTATGACGTATATTGGAATATGACACCACCCGTCGACTGTTGTTACCGTGCAGTTTTACAGTCAGCGTCAAAAAGTTCGTGACACCTAAAGTGGCCAGAAAGTAACACAACCTTATTCCGATTGCAACAAAGATGTATTGCGAACTTTTGGCTGCTTTGGGTGTCANGGGTGTCAGGAATTATTTGACGCTGGCTGTACGTGGGGACATTAGGAGACTGGACCAGTCATGTTAAATGCTTTCAAGTCCCATTGATGGTGGTGTCATACGCCCTGGGCAGCGCGTTGTACACCAAACGTCTACTTGTGCTTGAGGATGGTGTTTCTGAGCTTGTCCACGTTTGCTCCGGAGAACTCCTCGAGTTTCTTGCTGCTCTTGACGAAGACGAAGGTGGGCATCGAGTTGATGTTGTATTCGGTGGCGATGTCCTCGCACTCGTCCACGTCGACCTGGAAAGAATGAGAAGAAAATTATAAATATAATATCTTAAAAGAAATGTCTAAGAGGGGATCGAAGACACGACCCTTTGCTTGCCAGGCGACTGCTTGGAAGAGCATCTATCTAAGCTAAGATTTTTCAATCGTCAGATAACTTTTAACTAAAGAATAAGTTTGGTACAATGACAGTTTCAGTATGGGAAATATGTCAAAATGACCAGGTTCAGTTAAAAGATATTTGGTGATTGAAAAATCGGCCCTTAGACTACTTGATGTCAAAAAAAGTGGTGGTAGAGCTAGTTATAATTTGGGAACTGTCTTCGAAGGCATTTAATAAAAGTAATACTGACAATTACAATCTTGTAATGTTGTTCTCTTAAGTTTTTGTAAACCTATTCTTTCTCGGTTCTTCAACAAAAATCTAAAAAGTAAGTCTTTATTGTGTGTGTAACATAAAGGGCAATAAAATACAGACACACCACAATAAATTCCGTAGTTAATCAAACTGTAGCACCATCTTTTCCCTAATTGATTAGGTACTTAGTTAAATTGCGTCACATCAGCCTGTCAAGCGCCTATCACACAGTCCGGCACTAATGTGATTACAGACGGACCGCCCACTCAGTAAGGCCCTGGTCACATATTACAAGCGTCGAGAGTTTTCTAGAAGATATGTTTATGCTTTAGAAGTCCCCTGTCGAAGATTATCAGACTTCCACCATGGGAATCCAGAACCATCTCTAAATTGTCGACATTCCACCAGCTCGCACAACTAGGGAATGGAATTCGCAACCTGCTGCTTGCTATCTTTCCCGAACACTGCCTTTTCAAGGCGAGAGTGAATAGGCACAGGGCAGTTATGTTCCATCTTAGACTGCATCTCACTTAACATCTCATCAGGTGCAATTGCGGTCAAATAGCTATTGTTTTTTGACGTTTAAAGTGCTAAAGTTAATCAATCAATTTCGTAAAAAATAACACTGACTGAAAATTTTTACGACAAGCACCAGTGTGATAGTAGTCTTAGGTCGATTCCAATAAAAACCGGCATCTTTCACAAATAAACAAGTAAAGTTGACTAATATCGATTAACATTTTCCTCGTCGTAACTACGCGGGCTTTCAAGTGAAATCGTTTAACTTAGTTGTCACTCGTTTGATTACTTTGAAATATCTTGTTTTTGTTGAGATGATACTCATAACAAGATTTACAAATTCTATTGGCGCCGAAAAAAATATATACAGGGTGTCCCGTAATTTTTTTTATCTATCCTACTAATATTACAAATTCGAAAGTTTGGATGTCTGGATGTTTGTTACTCTTTCACGCAAAAACTACTGAACGGATTTTGATGAAACTTTACAGTATTATTGTTTATAACCCAGAATAACATATAGGCCATAATTTATGACGATTTGTGACAAACAAAATTTCACGCGGGTGAAGCCGCGGGCACAAGCTAGTTATCTCCAAAAGTTCGGCTGGCACGCCCTTTACGGGACACAATGTATGACATCTTTTAACATTGTATGTGCTTTACATTATCTTACGTTACTTTAGTTATAGTCTACCCAGACAAGTTACATAAACCGCAATCCTTGAAGGTCGGATCCAGTTTCCTCTATGTTGAGAAAAACATTCCTTCGTGTAACTATTATGTCATTATAAACTTTGTCTATTTGATAAGTTATGTTATTGTAATACTGTGATAAAAAGGTTACATGTTATTTTATAACAAACTTTTGTATTGCTGAGATAATTCATAACGAGTCTCACAGAAATAATGAAACTTTTTAGTTGCAACTCAGACTCAACCTACATTAATATAAAGTTAGTAATTTTGATTTCCAATCTATTTTAGATTTATCTATGTACCCAGTACCCAACCATGTCGTTAAAGTACAGTAAATAAAAAATATAAAAACATTTTAAAGTAGCACTAATCACAACTAGATAAAGTCCAGTATTCAATTTGATATGACGCCGTCCATACAAACGTGTATTTGATCCAACACAATGCAATGGACAACAGACATGCCCTTGTGAACCATAATCGATTGCAGCTTATCGATTCGCTGTTGTTACCGATGCGTCATTTAATCGATTTGATGTTCAAATGTGGAATCAAGACTGTTTTATTTATATTCATAATGTTATCATAGGTCTGAGTTTCAGTTACGTAAGAGGTCTATAGTGATTATCACTATTTGAACTTTTTCAGGGCCGTTACAAGGAATTTGTAATTTTATATTTATGAAGACTTATGGGTTACCAAAGTTTGTAAAGATATTAGTAGATTAAAAAGAAAAAAGTAAATTCCATTAAAGGAGCATTGAAATGAAATATTAATGAAAAAAATTACAAAAGTAGCCCATTACTAGCTCGTATTTATGAAAAAGTAATGGACAGGAACCTAACTATAAAAGGTAAACTTTATAAAACTTCTTTGATTCTAAGACTTTTCTACCATCCCATGATTACGTCACATTACATCTTATGTTTATTCAGAGGATGGGAAAACGCCATCCTTGTTTGCACTTTGAAGCTAAATTAAATTGAAAACAAGCTGATAAAACGTTTTATCCTCATTTAAAAACCGACGTGTTATGATTTATGAACTCGTTGGTCATTTTTAATTTAGGCTCTTAATAGTATGACTAACAGGAAAGAACAGGGAAAGGATATTGAAACAGGAAAATGAAATAATATTTGAAATAATTTAAATCTATATTAAAAAAAGCGAAAGGTCACTCATTGACTGACAGTCATCAAAAAATCTCAGAAACTACAAGTGCTAAGAGTCTCAAATTTTGCATGGGGGTTCCTTTTAGAACGTAGGTGCTCACTAAGAACGGATTTTACGAAACTCCACCCCTAAGGGGGTAAAACGGGATCCACACGTACGAAGTCGCGGGCAGCCGCTAGTAGTATGATATTAATAGGTAGAGCAAAAGCAAAATGCGCCTAAAAACCTGTATCAGTACGGGTTTAAAGAATTCAGATTCTTCTAACTAAGCAATTTCATAGTATTTATTTATTTTATACTTATATGCACATAGAACGGTGTACATAAGGCGGACTTAATGCCTTTCGGCATTTTCCTCCAGTCAACCTTAAGGCCAAACTGAGAATAAAGTAGGCGGTATAAAATTAATATGAATTTAGAAAAAAATAATTATATAAATAACATAGTATGACTCAAGTGTAATGTTAGCCTTCAGTTTTTTATCGACCATCAAGTTTTAGCTCCTGTTAACTAACGCCCGTATTCACAAAAACATTACTATGAGGTCTCACTGCGCGTGGAGATGGACGCACAGGGTGACACACGAACTAATCAAAAAGCTCTATTCAACGCTGTGCGTTCGATTTGCTGCTTCACTTAAGCAAGCATCGTTTGTGAATACGGATGTTAGAATCAAGAATTTGAAATACATTGTACAAATTGCTGTACCATTCTATAAACTATATGAGCCAGTNGGCGCTTGCTGGCTATCTTACTCACACCAATAGATAGAGCATATCCGTCACAATTGTGCGGCTGTGGGCCCGATCACTTACGTCTTAAAATACCGCCAAAATTTATCTTTAAACTAACGTCACAATTGTGTTCGGCTGGGCTGAAAGGGATAAACCATCATCCCTTAATATCTATTTACTTTTTCCAGTTATGTTTCCTATCCAAAGCGGCTATCAACGAAGATGCGTTTCCAGACTTCAGGGAACAGTTCAGGCCAGACCGAGCCGAAGCGAGAACGAGACAGAAATACGACTTCATCTTCGGAAGGAGAGAGATAAGGGATATCTTCGAGGACTACCATAAGAACTGCACGGGGTGTGATGATGACGTCGACGTGGCGGATAGAGAGGACCACGTCACTCAGTATTTGTCGGAGCTGATGGTGAATACGGACAGTGAGATCACTAGTTTACAGGTAATTAATCATGAAATTACTACTTACTCCCAAAGCTAATGCTGCGCTTTTTTTATGATATTACGACATTTTGGCACATTTGTATGCACCATGAACATGCCCACCCGCAGGGCGTTGCATTCACCAACTAACATGACATGACAGAAAATGGAAATGATTTAGCTAAAGGCAATTCTGTAAAAAAAAATTTTTCAAAAAGTCTAACGAACTTATGAAAAAAAAAACGTTTTACAGCAAATGCTCTTGTATTGGTTTCAGGCGAGTGACGTTGAAGAAACACGGGACGAATCAGGGTAAGCGTTGATCAGATTGTTATTTTTAAACTTCAAAAAGGAGGGTAAACAACCCTTAATTTACGGAATATAACCCCTTCATCTCCTATTCGTAAAAAAAATATTTTCTTTTATTTTTCAGTGAAATTATTTTTTAGAGAAAGTGACCAAACATTATAACTTTACCAGATAAAAGTGCTCAATCGGTGTTATGATGACACTGTTTTAATTCTTGAGTAATAAGAGTCGGCCGTTTGGTGTAGTGGTTCAGAACGGACTACTATGCCGAGAGGTCCCGGGTTCGACTCCCGGCCGGGCAGAAATTGAAATGATGAATTTTAATTTCTGTGACGGGTCTGGGTGTTACTATGTATAATATGTATGTATTTAAAAAAAAAGTATGTAAGTAGTATATCCGTGCTAGTACCCATAACACAAGCATATTAATTGCTTACTTAGGGGCTAGATGGCGCTGTGTGAGATTGTCCAAAGATATATTTTTTATTTTTTTTTATTTTTTTTAAGAGTATTTTGTCACTCTTTTCAGGGGAAAAGAAGATGGCTACTTCGCGTTTTTGACAGGGGAAGAGAAGGTCTTCGAAGTTGAAGGGATTTGGTCGGAACCTGCAAAGACGATCGTGGAAGAAAGCGAACTGCTCAATTATAATGCATTTTATTGAAAATACAACATAGTGTAATAACAAAGCTCTTTTATTTATTTCCCAACTAGCGGCCATTGAAGTAATATTACTACGTATACATTATAACTCAATGCTAGCGGCCGCCCGGGCGCCCGCGACTTTCG